CGGTCCATTGCAGGCTTGTGTTATAATGATCACACGTACATTTATTTTAAGAAGTATAATTTATTCACTATCCAACAGCTAATATTTTTTAAATTCGCGAAAGTAACCTTTAATTCTCTTAAAAGCAACACGGTGTCCTTTGATACTCAAGTTCCCTTAAGAGACACCCAATACAACTTGAGACGTGTGGAATATTATAGAGGCCAAATACGTACTAATTATGGGGAACAAACATTGAAACAGCAATTAAGACAACTTTTAAAAATGCATACACAAATTCTTGATATAGCAACTAAATAAAGATCTGCAAATGCATTTAAAAAAGAATAAAGGATTATATTTTCAAGCATTTGTAAAGTCTTGTGAAAAAATTCTGCCAGCCATTTCATTGCGCCAGAAATGTACATATTTCTTGTTATTTTTGTTGTGTTCTTGTGTTTTATTTGTATATATGCTGTGTGTACGTTACAAGAGCTGCGCCGCTCTGAAACCTGAATGGGGTACGGGACCTGAGTCAGGTGTTTTAATACACCTTTTGTCCCTGCCACCCCAAAACAAAATGGCAAATAAATACAAATACAAATCTATGGGAATCCAATAAGGGTTTACAATTCCAGTGTACTTAGCGTATTATGGATATTGGATACCAATATATTATATCGGCTACCAATAAAACTATATACGAGTTGGAATATCACGTTCAGCACGACATTTTTCTTGTGTGATTTTCTGAGTGATAAAATAAAAAATGTTGCTGTTGTCAATTTATGAATAAAGAAGCAAAACACTGGGCTTATCCATACCAATTATATTTAACATATCCCTGAACTGGAGGATCTGGCATTTACTGAAAAAGAAAGTTAATTGTTTAGAACCCTCATTCAAAAACTTGATGTTTGAAAACAGAATGTGAAATCCTCACCTTTTAATGAAAACAGCACCTGCTAGCTGTAGCCATATAGAAACTGCAAAATTAAAAATTTGTGATTAGTTCGCAACAAGTAGCAATCCTTCACTATGTCGGATAGATTCAAAAATATGTGTGTTTGATTGCCGAAAAATAAGCTTCAATTCCACTGCCACGGGTCATTCTGAGCTCGGTCAATTAAATATACCTATTCGCTCGTCTGGCTTCACAATTCCGGCTTCGCACCTAACTAGAGTATCTGGAAGGCTCACCTTTGAGGAAAAACGAACTGGCGCTTGCTTGCTTGTAGGCCGTGGAAACTGGAAGAGAGATTAGAAATTAGTTGCGTTCAAGTAACAATTACGCTGAGTAGCCCCGTAAAGTACACTAACTCGGAAAGATTAAAAAAATTACATGCGCGGGACATAGATAACCTCTTGCGACGTAACTGGGCACACACCAATGATGCTCGCGTGTATTACAGAAAAATAAGCCTCAATGCAGGAGCCCCCAGTCGTTCTGAGCTCCGTCAATTAAAAATGCTGTACCGGTCGTCTGGCTTCAGTATTCCTGCTTCGCGAATCTGGAATTCTCACCTCTGAGGAAAAGCAAACTAACTTGGACCTGCTGGCTCTTAGGCCGTGGAAACTGCCAGAAATATTTGCGATTAGTTGCGTCCAAGTACCAATTTCTTCGACCAGCCACCTACAGCACACTAAACCGAATAAATTCAAAATTACATGTGCATGACATAATACGCCTCTTGTGACAAAACTGGGCACATGTTTTGTCGCCGACAGCAACACTGAAGCCAGACAGACAAGCGGTACGGCATATTTAATTGACGGAGCTCAGAATGACTGGGGACGCTGTCACTGAAGCTTGTATTGCTGCAATACACGCGTGTATTGCAGCAAAACAAGCTTTAGTGAAAGCGTCCCCAGTCGTTCTGAGTTCTGTCAATTAAATATGCCGTACCACTTGTCTGGCTTCAGTATTGCTGCTTCAGAGCAATCTAGAAAATCTAGAATCCTCACCTTTGGACAAGAACGAACTGGCGCCTGCTGGCTTGTGGGCCCTGGAAACTACAAGAGATTTGCGATTAGTTACCTCCAAAAAACAATTGTTTTGAGTAGCCAACTACAGCACACTCAAAATTACATGCACGGGGCATAGATGCCTCATGCGACGAAGTCCCTTCATCCTTGTTTTCTGTTAACTCTGCTCACCTTCACCACTCGCCTCCAATTTCTGCGCTACTTCTTTAATCTCGATTCCCTGGTTTCCAAAGGCCATGCCATGGCTTGTGCCAGTCACGGGTCTGTCAGCTCTGCAACCGGCGCCATTGTGGCAAAGACGCCACAGAACCTGGCGCTTGATGTGCTCTTTTAATATTTTGAGCATGGCTCAGAAAAGGTGGATGGGTGTCTGGTATGCCCTTTGCTTATTCGCAAATTGTTTCGAAATAGAAGGTAGGTGCTTCTGCGATCTGAGCGCATGCTCGGTATTTTACAATAGTTGAAATTGAACTCTGCAGGAATCTTCAATCATAACAAACAGAATTTGCATGCCAAAAGGCACAGCAAATGAAACGCCCACCGTCTATCTATTTTCGGTTCTTGTCCGCAAGAAGCTGTCGTATGTGTGGCCTCCCTTGTGTCCCAATTCGGCCTCGTCCTGATGAATCGTCGGTGGAGACCTGAGGTGCGGTCAACATCAGATTATACCTTTTGAGACAGAACCGTGTACTTGCTGGGAGGAAGTACACCCAAACATATTTTAGGCATGTCATTTATAGTGAGTTTTAAAATGAGAGGCCTGATGTAAAATCATACGTCAATACTGACGCGCCCCTTTGGTGAACCTAAAATTTTGAAGGCCTTGCCCCCCTCGCTAGGGGGACAAGGCACATGAATCCCGGCATGTGAATGAAGTTTTTACCCAAACATCCCGACTGAATGCCCATCCCCGAATATTCGACCACCACACTTTTAGAAAAAAAAATAACTTTTTTAAAAAACACGGAGCCATGGACGACCCCTACAAAAGCCTGAACCAAGCATACTCGTACCGTGGCTTGTTTGCTTCGTGCCGCCCCCGAGTTAATCCGGGCTGACAATGTTTTTTTTTTTTTCAAATGAAACTAACGTTCTTAGTTTCGGTTTCACTTGTAGAGGCAGGTGGATACTTTTGTAAAGCTTCCTCCCTATGCGCTTCCGAGTCAACATTTTTGCAATGGCCAACCCCCTTGCATTGATTTTGAGCTCCTTGACAAATGCTGAAAATCATATACGCAGGCAATAGCTCGCCTTGAAAATACTTGCTCTTGGTGGCCAAGAACAAACTCGTATTTCTGATTGGCAGCCATTTGCTGCGAAGAATACCTGCACATATCCAAAACAACCCAGTCTTAGTCTAATACAGATGCTTTGGCCGGAGAGACACAAAAGCCTGACACAAGACCATAATAAAGACAGGAAATAGAGTGTCTGTGAGGAAGAAAACACACAACTCATATAGGCATCAATCATTTACCTTGAAAACACTTGCGATGAGCGGCAAAGAGCAAACTTCTGGCCTTGATTGGCTGGTGCTTGCCACCAAGACCTGCATGTATAGAAAAGAACCCGGTCTTAAATAAACGTGGGTGTTTTGCAGAAGAGACAACAAAATACTAACGCAAGACATCTACAGATAAGAAATGGCATCCAAGAGGTATGAAACACAAAACGCAGTGTGTTAGTGTTGACCCTGTTTTTCCCCCGAGTCACCCGTTTTCTCGGGCCTTCCCCAGGGCTCGGCCCTTGGGCCACTTTTGTTTTTAATTTTTATTAACAATTTAAAGATACACCACCCCAATGTACAAAGCCAATTTTGCTGACGATTGTGTTTTATTTGGTAAATTAAACAACCCGTCTGATCAAGAATTAAGAATTAAATTATTGTCTATCTTTGGTTCATGCATGGTGCATAAAATGGAATATGGTTCTGAACTGTAAAAAGTGTGTTAAAATGGCTGTGTCGCAGAAGAACAACCCTTTGTTTTTTTTTACATATTCTATCAACGGAGTACCACTCGAGACTTAAACAATATCAATACCTCGGAGTTTTAATTACCTCTGATTTGTCATGGAGTGCACATATTGAGTTTATAGCTCGTAAACCAATGCGGAAGCTCTGGTTTTTAAAATGAAATATTAACCTGTGTTCACCTGAAACTAAACTGACTGCTTACTAAACCATCATGAGACCAATGCTAGAATATGCATGTATTGTATAGGACCCTCGTACAAAGCTGTCAATTGTTATGGTAGAAACTGTGCAAAAAAGAAATTGCGGTTTGTGTACAACCGTTATAATTTTAGGTGATCCGTTTCAGATTTGTACCCAAGATGGGGATTGATTGATTTAGTAACCTGGAGAAAAACAGAACGGCTGAAGCTTCTTTATAATATGATGCAGGGTAATTTGCGACTGCGTCTCTGCGATTACACTTCATTTAACGAAACAAGGGCCACGAGAGGAAAAGACCAATTAAAACTTGTCGAACCATTGTGTCGAACCACTTTGTTCAAAGCCATCTTTTCCTAGAATCACGTGTGAGTGAAATAAGCTTCCTGAAAGTGTTGAAAATTTGAGATTAGATAATTTTAGTGAAGCACTGCTCTCGTACTTTGTTGAGTAGTGGCTCTGTCTGTTTGTACTATACATATTTCCGCTTCTTTTTTTAATATTGTTTTTGTACACCTTCTGCCTGGGCGTTCTACAGAATGCTGGCAGTATCACCAAATAAATAATAATGAATAAATAAAATATAGGCGGGCAATAGCTCACCTTGAAAATACTTGCTCTTGGTGGCCAAGAACCAACTCGTGTTTCTGATTGGCAGCCATTTGCTGCGAAGAATACCTGCACATATCCTAAAGAACGCAGACTTAGTCTAACACATGCTTTGGCCGGACACAGACGCAAAAGCCCGAGACAAGACCACTATAAAGAAAGGAAATAGAGTGTCTGTGAGGAATGAAACACACAATTAAAAAAGGCATCAATCGCTCACCTTGAAAACACTTGCCATGAGTGGAAAAGAGCAAACTTCTGGCCTTGATTGTCTGGTGCTTGCCTCCAAGACCTGCATGTATAAGCAAGGACCCAGTCTTAGTCAAACTTGGGTGTTTTTGCAGGAGAGACAACAAAATACTAATGCAAGACCACTATACATAGAAATGGCATCCAAGAGGAATGGAACACAAAACTCGCATAGGCGGGCAATTGTTCACCTTGAATATACAAGCCCTTGGTGGCTGAGAACAAACTCGAGTTCCTGATTAACAGCCGCTTGATGCCAAGAATTGCTGCACATATCCGAAAGAACCCAGTCAGTCTAATACAGATGCTTTCGCTGGACAGACACACAAAAGCCTGACAGAAGACCACTATAACGACAGGAAATAGAGGTTCTGTGAGGAATGAAACACACAACTCAGATAGGCATCAATCACTTACCTTGAAAACACTTGCCATGAGTGACAAAGAGCAAACTTCTGGCCTTGATTGGCTGGTGCTTGCCACCAAGACCTGCATGTATAAGAAAGAACTCGGTCTTAATTAAACTTGGGTGTTTTTGCAGAGGGGAGACAAAAAATACTAATGCAAGACCACTACACATAGGAAATGGCATCCAAGGGGAATGAAACACTAAACGCAGTGTGTTAGTGTTTATAATGCAATTAAATGCAAAGGTGCAAGCGAGCTGGACAAGAATGATGATTATTTTCATCATTCGTGTTAGTGTTGACTGTTTTTCCCCCCGAGTCACCCGTTTTCTCGGGCGAGCCCCTGGGCTCGGTTCTTGGGCCACTTTTGTTTTTAATTTTTATTAACGATTTAAAGATACACCACCCCAATGTACCAAGCCGATTTTTTGCTGACGATTGTGCTTTATTTTCTAAGGTAAACAACCCGTCTGATCAAGAAGAATTAAATTAATGTCTATCTTTGGTTCATGCATTGTGCATAAAATGGAATATGGTTCTAAACTGTAAAAAAGTGTGTTCAAATTGCCTTGACGCGGAAGAACAACCCTTTGTTTTTTTACATATTCTATCAAATGAGTACCACTCGATACTGTTAACCAATATCAATACCTCGGAGCTTTAATTACCTCTGATTTGTCATGGATTGCACATATTGAGTTTATAGCTCGTAAATCAATGCGGAAGCTCTGGTTTTTAAGACGAAATATTAACCTGTGTTCACCTTAAACTAAACTGACTGCTTATAAAACCATCATAAGACCAATGTTAGAATATGCATGCATTGTATGGGACCCTCATACAAAGCTGTCAATCGATATGTTAGAGACTGTGCAAAAAAAAAACATTGCAGTTTGTGTACAACCATTATGGTTTTATGTCATCAGTTTCAGATTTGTACCCAAGATCGGGATTGAGTGATTTAGCAACCCAGAGAAAAACAGGACGGCTGAAGTTTCTTTATAATATGATACAGGGTAATTTGCGACTGGGTCTCTGTGACTTGTGGGCAACCTGGCGATTCCAAGCGGTTGGCCCAGGCTGCCCCTCCGACAATCATAAGTGGTCATCTTGGCCACGAGGGGGCCAAGGGCAACTGGCCACGCGAGCGGCGCTCCGCCGCTGATAAAAGGCCGTCGCAGCGGATGCGCGGGGGCGGTTGGGATCGCGGCGCAGGCGATAGCGGTCATTAAATGTTTACGTGTTGTTGAACCGGTGTGCTGTGTCATTCTCCGAGACGGGTAGCAGCAAGGGAAATCCCACACTGGCGCCCAACGTGGGGCCCGAACCCACGACCCCGAGATTAAGAGTCTCGTGCTCTACCGACTGAGCTAGCCGGGCCGCGAAATTAGCAGAAATGGCATTCGCTACCCGCACAACAATCAACCGGTCCACGGGTTTTACTCCGGCCCAACTTAACTTTGGAAAAGAGCTCGTGTTTCCCCTGGGAAACGGCCTCCTTTGCACAGATCCTGCAAGCACGCAGCGCACAACCACGCAGTTCGCAGAAGATCTCCGGAAGCGTTTCACGGAGAACCTGCGTGAAGCTCGAGAGAGCCTCGACGTCTCGAGACTGCAGCAGGCAAACCAGTACAACAAGGGGAGGCGAAATCTGCAGTTCAAGGTAGGAGATCTGGTACTGAGGCGAACTCATCCGCTGAGTGATGCTGCTAGAGGCTTCACGGCCTCTTTAGCAAAGAGGTGGGATGGCCCCTACCGTGTTAGTAGCAAGCTCTCCAACCTGTCTTATGAGCTGGTGCATTGTGAATCTGGTGAAGTGTGCGGGTCTATTCATGTCGCCGACCTAAAAGCTTTCTATGAACCCGAGGAGGTAGATGTGTCGCAGGTTCCAAATGACGACTATCCGGACCACCTCTCGGAAGATTCCACACCGTCTCTACCGCGGTACAACTTGAGACGGCGGTGAAGACGACCGGGAGTAGCACGAGTTCTAAGCGTATTATCTTCATGCCCTCTTCGGTGTTTTGGGGGGGGAGAAGAGAAATGGTCCGCGCTCCCGCATGCACAGTGGGACAGGCATCTTTCGTGTGCGCGGCTACTTTTTCCTACCGCGCCATGGCCTCATGTTGTTTTTAATTTCTAGTTCCTCGTGCCAGACAGCGGCGACGCAGCTCCCATCATCAGACCACCCCCCATGGCTGCATCGGTACTGTCCGGAAGTACTGACGTCGGACCCGTGCTCGCTCATCTGAGAAGACCCTTGCTGACCAAGAAGGAAGGCCCCCCCGAAGACCATCAAAGACGTCCTCTGTTTTCGTTTTTGGAAGGGGGGAGATGTGTGGGCAACCTGGCGATTCCAAGCGGTTGGCCCAGGCTGCCCCTCCGACAATCATAAGTGGTCATCTTGGCCACGAGGGGGCCAAGGGCAACTGGCCACGCGAGCGGCGCTCCGCCGCTGATAAAAGGCCGTCGCAGCGGATGCGCGGGGGCGGTTGGGATCGCGGCGCAGGCGATAGCGGTCATTAAATGTTTACGTGTTGTTGAACCGGTGTGCTGTGTCATTCTCCGAGACGGGTAGCAGCAAGGGAAATCCCACAGACTACACTTCATTTAACGAAACAAGGCCCATGAGAGGCAAACACCAATTAACACTTGTCGAACCATTGTTTGGAACCACTTTGTTCAAAGCATCCTTTTTTCCCAGAACCACGTGTGAGTGGAATAAGTTTCTTGAAAGTGTTTTGATTTGAGATCGTTAGATGCTTTTATTGAAGCAGTACTCTCGCACTTTGTTCAGTAGTGACCAGGGTGTCGAACCGGAACCGAACCGAACCGAAAACCGGAACAGAACTGTTATTTTTAGCCGAACTGGAACTGAACCGAACCGAAATCTTCGCCGCCATCTTGGAACTGAACCGGAACCGAACCGAAAAAAAATATAACGGTAACCGGTTCAAAACGGTTCAAGGTATTTTTTTTCTTCTTTGCTAGTATCACAAAATGAACATATGGGAATAAACAATTGGCGGCTGTATTTCTATCTGTTGATCGAATCGTCATATACATAATTGCAACGTATGATAAATTATGGGTTTTCGTGGCACCTTTGTTGGCACTATGATTAACCATGTGTCAAGTTGTCACGTGACGTCATGGTGTCAATACATGTTGTCAAGTAATCTCACGTGGCATCGTGACTTCACGTAACTCACCGCGTTAAATCGATTTAATTTGAGGAAGTCACTAGATGTATCTACCTTGTTGACAGCATGACGTAACATGACGTCACGATTTCGCACCGAGAGTCACGTGACACAGTGGGGTAAGCGATTTTCATAACCCCTAGTCGAGTGCTCGGGTTCATGACAATCAGCACCGCCAAACATTGGGGTAACGGCTCATGTTCAATCAAATATGAAAATAGCCCAAATCTAACAATATCTGAAGCTCAGCCAAAGCTTTTGTTTTTCAAACCCTAGCCGTCTAGAGCATGACTGTGATGAACACTGGCGGTATCAGATCACGTGGCCGCTTGTTTAAATTGCGAGTTGAGGAAATATCTACAGCTGTCTCTCTCCTTTATTTTTTTCTGCATCTGTTTTTAGGGGAAAACTAATGGATGTTTCAGCAACCTATCACCGTCACGGGTTATTTCTTAACACTATTTATTGAAAGTACAAAAAAAAATGTTGCAAGACCAGTTTTACGATATTGAGGCATTGAAACATTTTTTCGTTGTTGCTGAAGTATATCCGAAAGATGTCCCCGAGAATAGAAGTTTTGAAATGACTAAATGCGACCTATTAATATGACGTTACACAGAACTACACGTGTGTACGGAAGGAATACCTAAAAAAAGAAGATATTTTAGTGACGTGAGAGGAACCGCCGAACGTTGGCAGTCGCTGTAAGTCTCACACGAGCGTCGTTCTCAAGTTATTTCCCAAGTTTCGACCCCTCTGTATTTTGTTTAAATGAGCTATAACATATTTCTATACATTACTAAATACTACTCAGGATCAGTCCCTAACGTTAATAACTGATTGAACTTGGCTTTGCTCTTTTTTCTAGGCAATGGTAGTCGCCGAAAAAATAGAGAAATATGAGCATCGTTCATCCCCTCAACTCGGAGCCAGAAGCGGCCACGTGGTCTGGTGCCTATCTTATGCCGCCAACGTTAATCATACCCCCGCGCCGGAGCTTTAAAGGAAGAAAACACGCGCGGGAGCTCCAGGCATTGTTAGAGTTCGACTATTCTCATTAACACAGTGGTTGGACACGAGCCACTACCCAAGTGTCCGCCGAGGCATTGATTGTTACGAGCCGATGTACGGTGCTCACACAGTTCTCCTGCCCAATCCATAAGTCGCGCTCGACTGTCGACAACCGGGTGGTTTTGATCCCACAATTACGACATCAATCTTTGAGAAGGCAAGACTAAAAGAAATAGTCTTGTTCAATCCTCACAATTTCACCGCAGCAAAGAATCTTCTGAATCAGTGTCGCCCTGTGCGAGTACACTTGGACCAGAGGACCAGTACGCCTCCGAAAAGTCATGAACGTTACAACCCCACATCGTTTCATAACCCCTTTCAACTTAACAGGGTGCAAAATAAAAGCAATGAAGAGTTGCGGTTAACAAGTGTCAAATAAAATTGCCGAATTAACAGACACAAATGGAGGAGGCAATTCCTCACGAATACTTTCAGCTTTTCCACTTTGGCGAAGAAGGAAGACCAGCGAAGCTGTACTATGGTGGGAATGAAGTAATGGCCTCCGCAAGTGGGCAAGCCAGACTGGAAAGGCTGGAGGGGTTCCCGCCATTTATGAGCGACGGTGGCAACCAAACAACTGGCAAGCCGGCTGTCTGGTTGCCGTCGCCATTTATAGATGGGGGTAACGCATGACTAGCCCTTAACAACACTGCTGTATAAAGAAGTGCGTCTGTGTGTGGGGCCGGGGGGGGGGGGAGGGGGAGTTTTAGAAACATACTGTGTTGTAAAGGTTCCTCTTCCCTGCATCTTTGGCGCAG